GAACCCCCACCGGTGAGAGAGGGAGTGGCATGACCATGCGGCTCGGCACCGTCGGCAGCATGCCCAAGCGCCACAGGAGCCATCCTGAGGAGAGAGTTCTTTTTTCAGAGGTTCTTAGTGATAGCTGCTCAGTTGATCACCCATGTTCAGCTGTATATAGCCCATTATGGCCCTATTATGCCCTGTTACATCCCAGTCATATTATCTTTATATTGTCAGCTTATGATTAACAAACATATGTGAACAAACAATATAATATATATATATATATATACATACCAGGACCCTCCAAGCGGTGCCCAATGGAAGCCTATAGGTAGTGTGGGGTAGTCCAGCCAGGACACCCCGACAGGAGGGTCCTGGTATATATATATAATATATATTTAGGTGGCCTGCTCTGGCCTGAAGTTTTGCGTTCCATGCTGACACTCTCACGCTGGTGGCGCCCGACCTTGTCGCCGAAAAAAGAACGGCGAAGAGCGCAGACGGCTGCGCCACAGACCAGACAGCTGCACGGACGCTGGCAAAACATGTGCAAGTTCCTTAACCTAGAACCTGAGTGACCTCTATTTTGGACCGCCAACCACCTAAAATATGGTCTTTTCCTATCAAAACAGAGGTCAAATGGGTTCTAGGAATACATATGTACATACCCATAGGGCCCAATTTGGCCTCTATTTTGGACCACCAACTACCCATAATGTTTTTTTACCTGTCATTCCAGAGGTTTCTCAGGCTCCAGGTATATAGTTACAAAACAAACAATACATATATATATATATACATACAGACATATTATAGGCTAGGAATTTCAGTGCAGTGCGTGATTTCTTCCTCGCAAAAGCTTAGTTTATGCTGACCGTTGTGATATATGCATAGATCGAGTTGTTCCAGATGGATCTTGGAAGAGAAGGAACGCTTGTGAGGTCAAAACGACCTGGAATGGACCTGAGGTTTCTGGGCGACCCCAAGATCCACTGGAACGGATTTCACCACTTCTGGACCATTCTTCTCGCGCTTTCCGAGCCACGCACCTACCAGTTCCGGGCCTCGGACTCGCTGAGCGTCGCTGAGGCCCTGGTTGGCTGGTCTTCACGGACCGCCGGGGGGACAGCAAGTGTTTATGGGAACTCAGATTGGGAGGGTTGGCAAGATACGAGGTGTGTGTGCCTTGTTTTGGATGTGTTACTTGACTCACTCACATGGAAGTGGAGTTCACGCCCTGTTTGTAGTAATTAGTCTTCCAGGGTCCCAATTTTCCCGTCCATGTTAGCGAGTCAGAGTGTAGACAATCTGGGAGCGATTCATGTTTTTTGGAGGAAAGGCAGTGCCCCGAGCTTGGAGGAGCATGAACATCCGAAGGGTCAAATGGGTGGTGAACTGCACATTCATGATGGTGGATTCCGTATGATATATATTATATATTATATGATGTGTACTTTCTTTGGGTTTTTGTGAGCTGTTTTGAGTCAGCGAGATGAACTGCCTGGACATCCAAAAGGTGCACCAGAAGCAGAGCTTGTGAAGAGAGAAGAATCATCAGGAAACATGTTTGTTGAGGAACGCGTGCGCCTTGCACCAGAAGGAGACAGCATTGCATTGGATACTTCTTGTTAGGGCCTGTTAGGGGTGTTTTTTGTTTTTCTACATAGCCCTGCCAAACCCAGGACACCCCTTGACAGCTAAGGGGCTTTTGAAAAAGTGTCCAATTCTTAGAGTCTTAGAGGTTAAGGGGTATCCATTAACCACCCCCAGGGGGCCCTGGTAAATTCACCCCGTTTAAACCTTAATTCCGCGGACAGCTTGGACCAACGTGACCCCTGCAGGACTTGGAGGTGGAAGCCTCCAAAAAGGCCCACCTTGCCCGATGGTTTTTCGGACGGAAGACGAATGCCTCGAGGTCTGAATGGCTGACCCATAGGTTTTGCAGGTCTTGGAGGTTTGGATTTGTTTTTTTTATTTTGTTTTTATTTAGGTGGACCAACGTAATGTATAAAGTCCTTGCTGGCCTTCATGGACAAGTAGCCTCGCGGGCATAGGAAAGTTTTGTAAGGGGAGTGTGTTGGCGACCCTTCCCTTGCTGTTGCTTCTTTGTCACAGTCGCTTTGCTGATGGATGGCGCATATGACATACTAGTGTATGATCTGCAGCGGGGTTTTGTGCTTGTCAGGATGTTGTTCTCCTTTTCCCATGGCTGAGTGCCACAAGGGTTTGGGCTTGAGTGCGTCTCAGCGTCTCCCTACCGCGAAGCTTTCTTCGGGCCCAGCAGCGTCTCAGTGTCCATCGTTGAACGGTTCGGCGTCTCTATCGGATCTGAAGGGGCTGTGTTCATCCGGTGGGTCTTCTAGACAGGTCCTCCATGTTGCGACCCTGGCAGCCTGCTTCCAGACAGCCAGCTCTTCCAGTGTTTTTCCAGGTCATGGCTTGGAGGGAAAGCCGCAGCCAGCGGGAAGACAGAGGCATCAGCTGAGGAGTTGGGAAAGGAAAGAGATTCAAGAGATCCCATCACCTCAAATGGATCTGGATCCCCCCCATCCAGATCCCCGAGGCCGGCTTGCCTAAGCCAATCCCATCGTGCGCATGTGCGGAGCACATGTGAGGGTGGGCGGTAGAGGTCGTACCGGCATCATGCCTAGGCTCTAGAGCAACGGAGGGAAAGAACAAGGAAAGGCACACATGCAGAGAACCAAACCCTTCAAGGATCTTCCTACAGAGGTTAAGTGACCTGAACTAGGACCCGTAACCAGGGGTACCCAACTAGGATAGTCTAGTTCGGGTTCTGACCCACCTCTGCTGGTTCAAGGTTACTCCAGGATGGTCCAGCAATGATTTCTGGCTTTGAAGAGGAGCGTCCCAGTCCCAGGGTGTCACAGGGTATGTCTTTCTCGGCCCGGTGGCGAGGGTGATGTGAAGCACCTTGGGTGAATGAATGGCCCTACCCAGAAGTGAATTTCATGGATCTGCAGGTCACCCATCAGCTGGGACGCCTGGGGACTCTAAGCTGGAGTGGTACAAGCGGAAAGTTCGGCTCACCGTTACTTTCCTGATTGTTTTCGGAGTCGGAATTGAATCAACTGGATCGGACGTGGCTCCCAAAAGACAGCGCCAGGACCGGTTTTCGTGTTCATTCGGTGAGAAAAAAGGGCGGCTTTGCCAATCTGTTGATTTCCTTCTTGCTTTCATGCACATGCGAAATGATGCCTTAACACTTCCCCTGACGGCCCTGTGGCAAGGCTACTGGCTGGGACGACTGAAACCGCTGCAAGGCCGCGGCACGGCATGGCCTGGGAAAGGCGAACCTCACTTGGCGACGGTCTTTCACCACCTTGCGATGAGAAAAAGAACCCTATGAATCCACATACCGTCTCAGAAGGGAAGGTATGTGGATCCATAGGGCAAGTGATGTCAAGTCTGGATTGATCAAGTCATGGGCACTCAACCCTTTCACCCTCCTTCTCCCGGAACCACGTTTGCTGTTTGGGGCCCGCTGGCCGTGCCTTCATTCGCAGCGAACACCCAAGCCGAATGTAACGCCCAAGCGCAGCTCGCTTCGCCGGTTCTTGTCTTTCATGTTCCCCAGCGAGAACGCTTTCGACCCGTCGCTCCCCTGTCTGTCTCGCAGGAGAGGTGCCCGGGCGGACCCGGTTTGAGGAGGAGCTTCTGATCTTGGAGTCCCTAGGCGAGCCACGCGGATCTAGGTCGTTCGGGAGAATAGGATTCTGCTGGTTTGGTGGACTTGGTCACCCGGAAGACGCAATCTTGGAGGGTTTAGGTTCTTCATCTACCTGCCCTATAGGGGATCCCATTGCCACCTTGTCAGAAGGTACGATTGGACCCCCCCCATTCTACATCAAGGTATTTCGGCATGTGGATCCATCGGAAACCACCGGTCCACGTGCGAAGCCACGCCAAGTCATATAGGTTTCACCGCCACACGCCGGGGCGCCGCGACGAAAGGGCGGTCTTCCCGGTTTTCCGCCACGGAGGTGGGTGAAGCCCCTGTCGGTGCAGCCTGCATGAGGCTTACATGCAGCCGAACAGTGAGGCAAATGGAACGAAAGCCATTCAAAGTCTCCGACTCCCATGCTTGGATTTCAACAATTGTTGAATCACCAGTGTTGCTTTGAGAGTCTTTGAGGTTTGTCCCATGCCGCCTGCACATTTAAGGGATGTGGACGTCGAAGCGGTAGCACCGTCGTGCTATCCCAGAGGAGGGGCTCAAGTGCAAACCCACCTGGGTCAGATCTTTGGGGGTCTTCTTTTCCTGTGACTTGGATGCACGGCTTCGCTGCATTGTTGGCTGTGAGGTGTTAAACATGGAGCAAAAGGAGGGGCTTTAGAATGAAATGAGTCGCTGACATACACTGTACAGCTGCGGGACCAATTCCAATATTAAGGAATTGGCCTAAAGAACCATGGAGCATGACGCCCTTTAATGCGGTATTTGTATATATATATATAGCTGTAAGTAATAGTATATGCAATATGTATATATAGCCCTAGTTGATTTCTTGGAACAGCTGTAGGACCACGTCGGATCAACACATGGTGGGATTGTGCCTGTACATTGGCTGTATCAACGCATTTTTTTTTATGAAAGGTGTCTTACGGTAAGGTTCTATCACGGAACTCTTCCAACATCTGAGTGCCTTGTTCAACCCAAATGAGGCGGAGTGCATCGATGATTCGATGAATCAAACACCTGCCAATATCTTCAAGCTAAAAAGACACACCATCTTTACTATGGCCTCAAAGACTGAAAAGCAAACCCACCGGGCAGCAGAAGCTGCACCAGGTCCAGAGCATCACAACTGTCTCATAGCAGGGACATGTTTTTTCTCGCCGTATCGAACCTGCAGGTTCTGGTTTAAAAGACGTGCCTATACCAGGGCCCCCTAAGGGGTGTCTAATTATAGCTCCTTAGAGGTTAAGGGGTATCCACTAACCACCCCAACCAAAAAAGGCCCTGGTATGCAACATACTAGCTATCAAACCTGCAGCCCACTTTTAAAAGCACCGTGTCCAACTCCGCGTCGCTATGGTCTTGGGCCTATTGGCCCAGAACTGCTTCCCCTTGGTGCTGCTGCTCGAGCGAGCTCGCGAAGAGGTGAGAAAAGGGATGGATGGCGCCGAAAGACGTGAAGATGGCGCACATGGAATACGGATTAAAGCTGAAACTCCCCTGAAAAACGGTTACAAGCTTCTGCTGGTGGAAGACATTGTTCCCCACAAATGAAGGGTTGATGGAAACACAGGGTTTTACCGGGCTGTCCCAAGCCCCAAAAGCAACCAGGCTCGGAAGAATGCCCATGGCTGGCAAAATAGTTGTTGCATCTAACAGATTTGAAGCTTTTTGGAGCTCTCTGTATATATATATATATATTAGACACGATTTTCAGTTAGTAGTTTTGTGTGGATGTTTTCTTCTAATGGGTAAACATGAGTAATCTCCAAGAATACTCCTCACTCAGCAATCACGTCGCTTCAATTCCGCCACACTCCCCTCGCATGGACATGGACGTCAGGCCTGGCGATGTGCCGGCCGGCGAAGGCGGGAGGAACGCGGCTTTCTTTTTTTTGCGGATGATGGATGGCCCCTGGATGGCTGTTTCTGCAGGAAATCTATAGGTGAACGCTTCAGAACGATGGCCTGGAACCACTCTGACTGACTCACAGCCACACGGTTCATTAGTTTGCTCCAAAACTTTCTCGTAATGTCAATGGTCTTCCACACCTTCACCTTCCTGCCAGCAGAATTCATCCCCATGAGCCTTCCAACCTGCAACAACATTCAATCAGAGTTCTGCAGTGAGTCAAAGCCATTGACCCACCTTCCACGGCCCCCAGGCCCACTGACCCGGTCCGAACCAGGCGCCCACCAGCCACTGAGGGCCTCTTAAGGCGGCTGGCCTATCCCCACGCGGTGGATGGCCGGTCTGGGAGGTCTCATGAAGTGTTGCACACCGTGTGCCTTGGTTGAGCAAGAAAGTCTCACATCTGATCAAATACCTTCAATGGCTTATCATATGAACCCTTTGATGGTTTTGCAGTACTTTGTGTTCTTCCTGTCCAGGCTTCAGGGTAAGTGTTAACCTCACTCAAGGTTTGTTTACGGTCTACACATGTCTACACATGTCTACGCATGTCTACAGTATCCTCGAGAAAGACATGCTCCCAGCTTGGGATAGATCTAGCTTTGAAGAAAGGGGGTCATCAACTTCATCTCCGGCTTGCTTTGCTTAGGTGGTCTTTGATCCAATCATTTCTGGGCAGCTTGGATTTCTGGGCTGCGGAGGGCTGCTGGTCCGGCCGAATCGCTTGTTCTTTTCCATGAGTCATCCGCTTTGGCATACATTCTTTACAGACCATTGGAGACACTGTTATGTAGGTTTAAGTTTGGATCGTCCAAGTACGGGGCCCTGGGGCTTGGACCCCTGGGGCCCTGGGGTTGCATATCTGAAGTCCAGTCTTTTGTCCAGTCAATCCACAGCCACGACACCAGGACAGCCATTGGCTGTTCCTCACACGGGCTCGCGCCCTTTTCCTCACTCTGGGAGAAGACGCCGTTTTCCTCACCTGAGCTGAGCAGATTTGCAGTGCCAACATGTGCGATTTCCCCCACAAATGTGACAACATGAAACTTCCGCACTGTTCGAAAAAGATCCGACCAATGAGTCTCCGAGCTCCGTTTCTGTGCGTCGAACGCTTGCTTTCCTCTTTGGTGCATCTTGGATCCGTTTCAGGGAATCTCAGGCGCCGAAAAACGCTTCGCCAAACCCAAACAGCGCCTGTCTCACGCTGTGGACACCGCCCGAGGAGAGCCGCCCGAGATCCAAGTGGCCACCTTCGAGGTGGATCCGTGGCTTGGTGAAGAGCCGCACTGGACTCATCTCACCCGGCAGCACTTTGGAGTATTACGTGAAATCTATCATCACATATCATCACCAATACTCCGAGTATGTGTTAAGATGTGTTAAGTAAAAACCTGTTTTTTTCACTGTTTCACCCACCCGGAGTATTTGTGAAATGAAACCTGAGTATTTGTTCAATCATATCCAATCTATCTATCTATCTATCTATTACTGCCCTACAGGTCAAAGACCTCATTTTACTGGAGTTGGTCATACAAAAAAAAGCTACTCAAGGAGTTTAAAAGGACAAGGTTTTACTGGGTCTTTTGACTTGTAGAGCTACCGTATCTACTTAAACTCTATGTACGATCAAACTGCCACTCATTTCGGTTCTAAAAGGGATATTGAAATAACAAAGTTAATCCAAATGTGGACGACAAGAATGCCGCCTGCATCCACCTGCCCCTTTGCAGCGACAAGCAGAGCTGGGAGTCGACCAGGGAAGAATGCGTGAAACAAACTGATGTTGTTTGGGACTGTTTGGGTGAAGCATGTTTAGTTGAATAGTATTTGGTAATCTATTGAGACTCGTATTTGGACCGGAGTGTGCAGAAGCTTATGCATAAACAAGGCTCCATCCAAAAGCTGGCTGAAAGTACGGAACTACCAGTCGATCTCACCATGTATGTTCACCCAGCTTCACCAAAACACAATTCCACTCGCTCCACGCGCTCTCGTTCCGGAAGCGCTGTCCACACCCGAGGTTTACCTTCAACCACACCGTAAAGCTTTGGGACCCACGTGATTCCCTGTGCCTTGGACCGAAGGAGAAGGAGTCTTCCAGGGCGATTATTCGTGTTTTATTTTTCCCCACCTGCCAGGTGAGGGTTGTTAGATTTTATCACAGTTGTTCTTCCTCCTTCCTTCCTCCTTGCTTCCTTCCTCGCCAATCTTCATCGCCAATCTTCTTCGCCAATCTGCTTCGCCAATCTGCTTCGCCGATCTTGTCTGGCAAGCTCCGGATCGCAGTGTGCACCCCTGGACCTCAACCGCAAGGATCCGAGCGCAGTGTGCACCCCTGGACCTCAACCGCAAGGATCCGATCGCAGTGTGCACCCCTGGACCTCAACCGCAAGGATCCGAGCGCAGTGTGCACCCCTGGACCTCAACCGCAAGGATCCCCTCGCAGTGTGCACCCCTGGACCTCAACCGCAAGGATCCGATCGCAGTGTACACCGCTGGACCTCAACCAGATAGTTTGCCAGATAAAATGCCAGATAGAATGCCAGGTAGATTGCCAGATAGAATGCTGCAAGAAGATATGCCAGATAGATTAGTATGCCAAATAGTGTGTCAGATAGATTGCTAGATAGACTGCCAGAAAATATGCCAGATAGAATGCCAGAAGATATGCCAGATAAAATGACAGATAGTATGCCAGACATAATGCCAGAAGATATGCCAGATAGAATGCCAGGTAGATGCCAGGTGGGGATTACTCGAAGTAAAGTATTTTTTAATAAGGTAATAATACAATAGTATTATAGTGTATACAGTATACATACATACATACATATATATAGAGAGAGAGAGCGGAGATTGAATTGATTGAATGTTGCATGTGGCAGAATCTACATCATAGGAGAATCTGCACCAGGATCCTTAGACAACCAATGGCGACACAGTATTGACAAAACTCAAGGAATATGTGGGCCCAGCTCAGCCATTATCGCCGGAAAGTTGATTATATTTTGAATGGCTTTGGCATGTTTGAAGTTTGAAGTGGTTAGATAATTAATATGGACAAACCTTCCAATTGAAACACAATATGTACATATAATTAAGTGGAGTCTGTCATGTTGTTGGTCTGGGTGTTGATTGCATTAATACGGACAGTCTATGATCTCCAGACCCACCATTTTCTCCAGGACAAACCTTTCTCTCCACCGAGAATATTTCTATTGTTTACACCAAACCCTCCAAGTTTTTCGTAGAACAGTGGCAGCACCACCCAAAGGTGGTTATTTGGATGGAGAAAACACATGCTCAAAGGGGTCTGCAAACCACCCTTGATTTGCTGCTGGTAGGTAACATGGTATTAAAGTATGTAATACCCTATGTTCCGCCCCTGCGTTGCTGGCCACCCGGGCCACCCCTTCACCTTGCAGGTGCAGCAGTCGGCTCCTGGTCGGTCACAGCGACACGGTGCTCACAGTTGCCATGAAGGGCAACATTGCTGCTCAGCGGGGTCAAACACGAGCTGTTTGGGACTGGACTGACCGACATTGAGCCAAATCAACCACCCCAATGTATATATAGGTCATGATATATATGCCATACATGGAGAGTCTCTGGCGTAGGTGGTTGCACAGCGGATTTTAGGGGTTAAGGAATGGTGAACGCACCCAACAAAAGCGGCATAGGATACACCAGACATGTCCAAGCAAACTGTTGGTAAAAGAGGTGAGGATGGATCTAAAGATACTTTGGTCCATGAAGGATTGTCAGTGGGTCAATGCAAAAATGCATTGCCAAGGTGGATAATTACCTTGGATTCCAAACAATGTACACTCCCTGGAACTAACATGGAAGTGGAGAATGGCCCCTTGGAAGACCATTTTCCACTACAAACAGGTGGTTTTTCACTTCCATGTTAATTCCAGGGAGAGTATAGCTATTTAAATCACAGAAGGCCCTCAGAAGGTTGACTTCCAACATCTCCAGGGTGGGGTGCACATCTTCCAAAGCCGTCCAGAAGAATTCTGCGGTACACACTGTTTGTTCCATATTTATTTGGTGCTCTATTAGCAGCTTATATCATATGCATATAGCGTGTGTATATATATATATATGTGTGTGTGTGTGTGGGTGTAGCATGCTCGAATAGGTGGATCGTTTGCTCCCGATGTTGGTGCATGCACCGTCGCCCAGTGACCACAGTGGTCACCTCCCGATCGGTTGCTGCCAACTCAGGTGGTCACGGGCTCGTATGACTGCAAGGCGATGGCTTGGGACGCTTCCCGAGGCGGGGAGAACGTGAGTCCAGGGAGATTGGTCGATGGTGCATGTTGTTTTCTGGGAGGTTGGTGAGGTACGTGTCATTGAGTCGATGAAAGGCTTGATGGGTGGGATGTTAAAAGTCTTCCTTGGGAATTACAAGTATGTTGAACTTGAGGGTGTAGACCTTTTTCTATATTGAAACCAATTCCGAATTCCTGTTTACCTTTAGTTTACTTCAGTACACTCCAGTTTGGGCACTGCTTGCCCCAAAGCAAATTCAGCTCACTGATGAGCTCCAACTTGGAGTATGACCCTGGGCGCCGTATGACCGTCACTTCACTTTACTTCACCCTCAAACTCACAGGTGTTTGAGCTCATATGGAGTAAGTACACCATATGTTTCAGTAGTACTCGGATGGAGTAAG